CCCGCAGAAAAGGAAAAAAAAGAAAAAGAAAAAAGAAAAAAGAAAAAGGGAAAAGGGAAAAGGGAAAAAAAACCAAAAGAGAAAAAAAAGAAAAATTCAAGGGAAAAAAGGAAAAGGAATAGGATGCGCAGTATGTATTCTCTCCCCTCTCTCTTTTTTCCCGCTTTCCTTTTTACATGTCCTGGATTGGATGTTGCTTTTTCTTGTATTTTTGTTTTATTTTCTTCTCCTCTCGTCCTTTCTGGCATCTCCGCTCCAGGTTGTAAATCAGGTACCCAATTTGCTCCCACAATTTTTGCCTGGAGTATACCTGAATAGGCAATTGTCCAAGTTACCCGATTCTCTCATTTATCTAGACTTTAGGTGTAACACCTTGGAAATTTCCGCAGTGCGAAATTCCATCTATCATAACATCAAGTCAAGCTCACATAGGGCCCAAGTCTTACTATTCCCAACCGCGTTAGCCATCTGGTAGGAAACATTCATGTCACGGTTGATACAGTATTCAACCTGAGCGTCGTATGAGCCAGTACGAGGTTTAGCGGTATTCGGGCTCGACAGATATCCCTGTCCTAGTAATCTAGCCCGCAACCAATCAGGGGCGGATACCCCCACCATTTCCAAGAGTATTCTTGTCTTTCATTTTTTTACTTTTTGAGCACTGTCCAATCGCCGTGCAAGTTTTAGTCTTTTTATTTGTATGGTACGCTATCTGGCCTGTCCCGTCGGTCGTAGCTCTTCGTGTCTGTGAATTATTACCCTTGTTATTCCAGAATTGATTTATGTTATTTATTTTTCTTAAGTTTTATTATTATATTATTATAAATTTTTTTTTTTTTTTCTTTTTCTTTTTTTTTTTTTCTTAAATGAATTCTTGACAGGCACCAAATAGGCAGTGCTAAAGATGGTCCTGTCGAAATGCAAGACCTGGTCCTGGTCGACTATCGAATCAGGTACGACTTGCTTGGAGTGGAAAGGCCAGTCGCAACCAACCACAGGGCCCAGATGAAGAGGTACATCCTTTGACTCCATCCCATCCATACTTCCCTCGTCAGTACGGAGTATACATCTATCTTCTTCCTTACACTTTCCCCTTCTCCTCCATGATCCTTATTTACTACTCGCTACTTCTTCCCTGATCGTCCCTGGGCCTGTGTCCCGGTCTGACCCTTTTTAACTCCGTTTTATGTCTTTTTTGCCTTACCCGCACCCACCATTGCCCCTCTGTTCATTTCGTTTTCCCCCTGTACCAAAAAGAATAATATAGTCTGCATGCTTCTTCTCGTTGTGCGCATACATTCGGTTGTGGGTGACTCGGGTTAGATATCAGGCATCCAGGCGCTGCCGGAACTCCTCCCTCGTGGGAACCGCCTTGTTGCTGCTCCAAATCGGCACATATCTACTACTACTACTATTACTACTACTACTCTTACTATTTTCACGGCAGCTTTGTGTAATCGCATATTCTTTGCGCTGAACATGCATCCTCATTTATACTATTCTTGGATGTAGAGAAGGTCCAACTTTCTCAGATAGCTCGCCTTACTTTTTTCCTGCCCATTGACCCCGATTGTCTCCTTCGCTTTCTTTATATCGGTTGACGGCCTGGTTGAAGCCTGTCTTAGTACTGCCGAAGCCACTCCCAGAGTAGCTTGCCCCCTTTCGTTTCTCCTTTCTGCATCGTGCTCTCATGATATTCCTCGCCTCTGCTGCAATGGACACAGAGAGCACACACGCCCAAGATAACGACTATACCCAGTCGCCTTGGTTGGATTTGGGCGGTTTCAGCCCTTCGCAACAGTCACCACCGCTTGATTACCATGGGTTTGGGTACGGCATGCTGCCTTTGGAGTCGGCGTACGGGGTCTCTGTACCACCCCCGTATGCATCACTCCCATTAACTATGCCCTCGAATACGTGGCCCAGTATGATGTCGACTCACCCTCAGCTCCCTTTTCCAGAGGGAAGCGTGCCGCCTGTACCCATACCAGCAGCGGTATCGCCAGTCACACATAATCCACCACCGCCGCCGCCTCCACCGCCACCACCTCGCAAGTCATCAACGAGTAACTCGACACCGCGGAGGACGCTTACGGATGATGATCGTCGGCGTATGTGCCTGTATCATGAAGAGAACAAAACCGCCAAGCAAACAGACATTGGAGGTCAGTTTTCACGCTAATTTCTTCTCTTCATCTAGATCATGACTGACATAACATGCACAGCGATATTCGGAGTGGAACGAAGGTAATAAATCCACGCAATCCCCTCTGATCCTGATTTGAGTAAATCCTGTTCTGACACGTTATCCATCTGTTAAAGTACGGTGTCGAAAGTGCTCCGTCAGAAAGAGAAGTATCTCAACCCCGATGATGGAACACGTTCCCCCATCAAACGAGCCAAGGGAAGAGTTCCTGATATAGAAAAGGCTCTTTCTAACTGGGTGAGAAACTACCAGCGTCACGGCTATCCTCTCAGTGATGAGATGATCAGGGAAAAAGCTCTATTCTTCGCCAACACATGTGGTAGTTCCGATGGCAAAGAAAAAGTGCTGAGCACAAGCTGGCTGGAAAAGTTCAAACATAAAAATAACTTGATGGGTTTGAAATCCCGAAAAAGCTCTTTCAGCGCCAAGAGTGAACCGGAAAGCCCCAGGCGTCTGAGTATAAACTCGGCGATAGCATCTGCCATACAGTCACCCAGCGTCCTTTCGCCTATCTCTCCCACGGGGTTTGCTACCCCTTCACCGTTGTCACCCACCCAGAGCCAGGAGAACTTCGGGCCAGATAGTCTATGTGATCTTCTGGGAGATTATCAAAACGCGCATACTACAAGCACCATCTCTATTGATACTACATCTTCTGTCTCCGCCAGCGTGACCAGTCCAACATCAACACTAGTAGCAGACAGCCCCTTCACTCCCGCTAGTCAATCACACAACTCATCTCTGGATAACAATTCGACTAGGCCACGGAGCCAAACGTTCCCTTTCATTGGCGTCGATCCCAGTGTGCTGTCGCCTGATGAGCAGCCTGATCAGCTTTCGCCTAAGACTGGACCGCAGCAAGCCACTTTACAAGAATCACCAATTATGGATGAGTACAACCCAAAGGCTATTCCTAGCCTCGATACATCGTCCAACACAATCAAGCGCAACCGGAGCAATCCGGAAATCAAGGCGAAATCAATTTATCCACCACTGTTTCCGAAATCAACTACAGTTTCGCCTGTAAGCTCACCTGGATCACCAACCCAGGATGAAGCTCGGAGGGCCCTAGAATTGGTGATGAACTATTTCGAGCACCAACCCACCGGTCTAGGAGCTCAAGACTACTTAACCATTGGAGGGTTAATGGAAAGGTTGGAACTCGCAAAGTCCCAACAGACTACGCTCCCTGGGGGTCTTACTCGCATTGATGAGCATGATGACGGTCCACATTTACACAAAAAGCGAAGTATTCGCAGCCTTGGTTAATATCCTCCGTTGGGCCATACTTCATAAGATCAAATCACCATAACATGGGAGTATACGACCTACTATTTCCTAGCAGTTAACTAACTGCAGACGATTTTAATTCTTACTGGCTCTATTATATGTCTTCACATTCCCCCCATCTTGATGCAGCATTTTTCCCTTGTCCTTGCTTTTTGGGTGGCTTTTTGTATTTGAACTTATTGCATCTATACGCCATGCTCGATGATTCCCTGTTTCATTAAGCCAACACAACAGTTTCTGAGGTTCATGTGAAAAGCAAAATCAGAAGATACACATGTGAAGAGGGCGACCTCGATTGTATTCAATCACTGATTCTGATCCTAGCAGATGGCATGGCATGGCTCACAGTCCATCGGTGGAGTATGGTTTTTATGGTGCATGAACTTGATGGGTTTATTCTGGTATCATTACTCTTTTCTATTTCTTGCTCTTCCCGCCGTTTCCTTTTCCCCCCTCTCTTTTTTCTTTTTTCTTTTTCTGTATTCGAGACTGTTCAGACGGAACAAGCATCATCTACACTGGAATCGCTCACGCGAAACTGCATGGGACCATTATTATCACTGCATTCATCAGCATTTAGGGTTTTCGGACGGATCGGAACGAGTACATGCAAAACTATGGGCTATCATTCGCATGGTGTGATTTTTGGAATTTTTTCTATTTGATTTTTATTATTTGTCTCTCTTCCAAGGTTCCATTACCGTTAATTTCTCACCGCAATTTCTGCGTCATTTTTCCTTGATCTAATTCCTTGTACATTTCTTCCAATTGACGCACTGTGCCTTGTCCCTGGCGACAAAAAATGGGGCTTGCATGGTTTGACTGATTAGGTGCATTTCATTGGGCTCTTTGTGCCTTAGGTGCCTCACTTACATACACCTGCCTGCATCTCGAACCCCGCCGTGAGCCAACGCCACCTGTTAATTGTTCTGCAGACCTTGTTATTTTTTATTTTTATTTTTATTTTCCCTTTCCCACCTTCTCAATTCTTACGGCATACGATTGATTACATTGTAATAATTTCTAACGTATTATATTGTGTTAATTTCGTCCGTTAACCCCTGAGCCCTCAATGCAACGGGACAGGGACAGGGCTTTCGTTGCAGGTCAAATTTTGTGATCCCGAAGAAGGGAACAGAATATGCATGAACCGAACGAGATCCATGAATACCGACTGGAGGCCTGAGACCCTAACCAGGTTTGATAAGGTTATCGGTCTACCAAAAATATCATTCTCTGTTGCGCAACACGACTCTCATTTTAGCCGAGGCTGTGCCTGTGCCTGTCTCTAATGCGATTGATCTATTGTTCTAAAACTTCTGCCCAAACGGATCAGGGTTCACTAAGCTATTGTTCACTCTCGGTGAGATGGCCCTATATTATATCTCTCTGTTGTTATTATATTCTGTCGGTTTAAGTGGGTTTCAGTCGCTGTCTAAAGACACGCCCCGGTCTTCCATCAACTCTGTTAAGCTGCGTTCCGATAGCTCGGGGAGAAGCCTTGCTAGGACGGTTTCAATGATCGAGTAGATAGATGTTTATTGCAATACTCATCGGCGAATAGATCCAGGATGTCGTTCTCAATTGCCACGAGAAGGAGCGACTCTTCCAGATCATCGTCTGATAATGGGTCAGGTGATAAGGCACAAACTGGTTCCGAATGTTGGTAGCTCTGTGCATTGGGAGCCTTAAAATGCTCTTGGCGCTCAGGGGGCGTCTGTCCAATGACGATTTTCGCTGGAACACCCAAGAAGCGCTGCGCAATGGGACGAGGGACCAATGACAGGATGCTTACCGCGCACCTTCGCTTGATAGAAGCGATTTCGGCCGCGGTAGGACGCTGTTCCGGCGATAAGGAAGGCGCAGTCGCGGAAATACTAGTCGTTAAGACGCTACTGCTGGCGTTAGTTGCGCCAGCGGCGTCGCTAGGCGGGCTCATTTCCGAAGGGGACGCTGGCGGTTGTGCGGGCAAATGCGGAGCCGGAGCGCCGTCTTGGTTCGCGCCGGCCGCCTGAGTTGAGCGAGCATTTGAAGGGAAAAGTGCCGCCCTGGACGCGCGGAGGAGATTGGGCAATAAGGTGGGGGTCAAGACATGATTCTGAATGGTCTCGTGGAGGAACCTAGTGGAGTCAACCATGAAAATTTTTTCGGGCCAGGGTTAGCCAGACGCTCCAAACGAGAGACACGAAAATCAGCAACAGTCAGATTGCGCAACACAGACGGACGGAGGAAGGTCGGACATGGTAGGCGGTCGAACCCCAGACTGTGGAGAAGCGGTTCAGAGTATCAAGGTCCTTTGCCTAGAAAGGAAGTTGTGTAACGCCGAATGAAGGGAGGGTCACTCATTGCCGCGAAGAGAAAAAAAAAAAAAAAGTCAAACAAAGACAGGAAGAATGGCTGAGTGGAGACCGAATGCGATCGGCTTGGCCAATGTGAGGAGCTTGGGCCATCGATTGGTGCGATTAACAAGGGCCCAATGCTGAAGATGACGACAAGTGGAAAAGGCGGCGAGACTCCCACTCGCCATCTCGCACGCATCCCCAAGAGCAGGCATTCTTTCCGAGCCGTACCATAGGCTTCATAAGGCCGTCTAAACACCGGTGACCGCAGCCGGGATTCGAATTCAAAATCTTCCCCGCGAGGGATTTCGCTGATTGGCTCGAAAATTAAGGAAGGGAAGCGAACTTCACCCTATCCATGTCAATCCCTCGAAGTCGCATGGCTGTTTCTTCAACCAATCTTAGGATGATCGCCATGATTCATTTCATGTATCATCCTTTAGCGTTGGTCTATGAACGGCGAACTCAAATGCGCCCTCTTTTCGGGAATAAGGATTAACGGATGACCTTCCTTGTCGTTGGAGGTGAAGCACAACACCAATAGCATTGTCAAGTCCATTGAAGGCCATGGGATTGTCCCCCCATCGTTCCTTTCTTTTCTCATACTTCTTTTTTGGGCTCTTCCTTTCTTTGATGCCATTGTTGGGTGGATAATGTTTCCAGAATGCCGGCGTTGCACGGATAATGGAGTCGAGCGGGACGGAAAGGGACGGGCCAGCCCATTCAGAGTTGATTGACAGGGGGGCGGACACGTTCTTCCACTTCGGAATGGCCGAAGCCCCAGCCAATTTCGGGCAGGGAATGACCAGTCAACTCCAAACCTTCCGGCCGTAGTTTGAGAGGACAGGCGAGAAAAGGGGCGAAGAGTATGACGACTATCATCATATCATCATCATAATAATAATAGCATCACGCTATGATGATAGGCTCATCGTTATGGAGTAATTCGGCGGTAACTCAAATACGAACACGGTAAGTTACCAGTACGCGCCGGTCACGCCTCGTAATGACAAGTAGGGTCGTGCATGGGCCCAGTGGACGAATCAGGACCAGAAACTGGGAAAACGAAAGATGGCCTGTGCATCCACACCCAGATCAAGTGATCGTTGCAGCATGCGAGCAATGCGCATCAGTTGCATCGTCGTCCCGCTGGGCTTCTTGACCATCTTCCAATGACTCGTCTTAGATGCCCTGACAGAAAGGGTACTTTCCAGTACCAGCGTCGATCATGGTTCGGATATCGAACCGTACCGTACCGCTTCTCCACAGCTAAAGTTCCCACCCTCCTAAAGTTACCCCGTCTCAACTGATAAACCCGCGATAAGAAGCACGGGTGACTTGGCGAGAATGAGAGAAAAGGGAAGGGAAAATTGAAAAGCAAAAAAAGACACTCAAAGTAAATGTACAACTCACCTGTCAAGAACACTATCAGTGTCACCTATTCGACCTGGACCTGCCAAGATCAAGTGTTGAAAGAGTGCGAGCAGCCCTGCCAACCATGCATCCGCCGGGGAATATCTAGTAGTTGCGAAAGCATGCCGTACAGTCCATAATTGAGAACGGGACGCTTCAGGGGAGGGTTGCATGGAGCGGGCGCCTCGTTTGCGTGGCCGGTAAAGGACGAGGACGAGGCCCCTTGAGTGGATGCAACGCGAAAAATGCCCGTCACAATGAAACGTAAGGTCACGTAGGCTAGGAAGACGAACTGAAGTATCTTCCACACCCAGTCAGGGACCCGTAATTGGACACTTGACGACGAATGATGTCTCTGGACGTCTTCCTGGGGAGATAGCAGGTCGAACTTTTGTAACTGATTCTTTCTATGTGGTACTGCAGTTGTTGCATCAATCTCATGACTCTGGCGACTTCCCACCATGTCAATCAGTTTTGTGACACTCTCCCACAAGAACCACCCCTCACACATCTTCCCACTAACTTGATTTCCAATTATTAGATCTGCCAAGATATCACAAACTAGCGTCCGCAAGCAGGCATTCTTTAGATCCTCTGTTGGCAGAAGCACAGCCAACACCCCACTCACCAATAGCTGTCTATATCTGGCTTCATTATCGACTTGCTGGGCGATGGTGTGGGTATCCGTCGGGTCTGGGATTGGAGAAAGGCCCGGGTGAGGGTTGAGACTATGATAAATCTCGCGAGCAGAGGGAGTAAGACCTGATAGTTGAGACTGTCCTCTGGCTAGTCTGTACGCTGATTCCAAAGGCTTGTTAGTAAAGATATGGCTCAACCGTCCGAAGATGATAGATAGAAAGAGTATTGTAGCTCCACGCTTACAGATAATATGCGCTTCAACCAAAGCGGGTATCTCGTCCAGAACGAGCTGTGAAACATCAGTGTCGCGCAGTCTCTGTTCCACTGCCCGCGTACAATGCGCAATCACCTGGATAACTTCGTTGACGAGAACCTGATCTGATGTAATTTTTGAATACCAGGAGAAGACAAATTCTTTAATGATAACCGCGATCAAGGCATACAGCTGACAATCCACTTCATTCGAGCTTGTAAGTGGAGGTAGCAGTTCTTCCGGGGACTGTAATGTTGATGCGCCTCCAAAGTTACCCGCCTGCGAACATAGGACGCGACGGATTAAAGCGGCAGTTGCCTTGTCGCCCGTCGCGTCAGTCTGAGTATCCCGGCTCGAGGCCTTATGTAACCGGGGTCGATGTGAAGCTCGCGAGGATGGTCGCACATTTGCCGAAGCTGTTGACTTGGAGCTGGATGTTGTCGGCCCAGCTTTGAGATGTGAAAGCGGATGGAGCCCCGGACGAGAAGGCTCGCCGCTCATTTCATTCCAGTGACAGTGTCTATAGATAGATTTCCAAAAAAGAAAAATTGAAACGGTAAGAATATAGCGAATGTGGGATGTCACATCGAAGCCGTTGTCGATAAGACAAAGGGGTAAACGTCAAACACCTCCAATAGTACAGGACAATCAGTTCTCGGGAAGTTTTCCGGGGAAGCTGCGAATGCGATGACGCTGTTGCTCCACGGGTGATTCCTCTTTGGGATGCGCTCAGGGCTTAGGGCTTTCTCATATCGATAAGGGGTCCTTATCAGTGATTTTCCCCCGCCATTGTCATCCATGGATCAGCCAACTTACAAGTCCATGAGAATATCTAGCCCCTGAGTACTCATTGAGTTATCTATCCGTGCCTATAGAACGCTGCAATGCACTCATCATCGGACATCCCTATTCCTCTATGGCTAGACTGCGATCCGGGTAGGTGGATATGGATATACAACCCACTCAGCATGCTAACATAGTTATTCTCAGGCCACGATGTGAGTATGAAATGTTACCGAATGTGTATTTTCATGACCATAAATTAAGAGATATCTCTGCGGTATACAGGATGCATTTGCCATTCTTCTCGCTGCCCATCATCCCTCTCTGCATTTGTTGGGCATCACCACAGTCCACGGCAATGCCTCTCTGGAGAACACAACCAACAATGCTACAAGGATATTGGAAGCCATTGGACGACCAGAAATTCCTGTATATCCAGGTCACAAAAAGCCTTTCTGTCGGCCCGCAATTCATGCTCCGAATATTCACGGTAAGCATCTGCTCTTGCCCGCTAAGCTGGTCAAGTCAGATTCCTAGCTGGACAACAAATGTCTCACACCTTTCTTCAGGCGATTCGGGTATCGATGGAACCGAACTTCTACCAAAAGCTACGACAGCCCCAGTTACAGACAAGAACCCAATTCTGGCAATGCGGGATGCCCTCCTAGCACAGCCGAAGGGAACCCCGTGGGTTATAGCAACGGGGACCTTAACCAACGTAGCTTTGCTCTTTGCGACATTCCCTGAAGTAGCGGAGCATATTCAAGGCCTAAGTATCATGGGCGGTGGAGTTGGGGGAGGCTTTACGGATGCGCCTATGAGTCGACTCATTGGTGAAGAGTCGAGGATTGGGAATATCACCCCTCTGGCAGAATTCAACATCTACGTATGCACAGCCTTTATTTATTTATTTTTCTTTTCTTTTCTTGTTAGCCGTTTAGATCTTGTTCTAACGTCACATTTATTGCTACAGTGTGACCCAGAGGCATCCCAGTCTATCTTCAGCAATCCTGTTCTCGCTTCGAAGACAACTTTGATCACTCTTGACTTAACACACCAAGTCCTCGCCTCGCGCTCTGTGCAGTCCCGCGTCTTGCATGGAGGCGATGACCTTTCGGTACCTCCAACAGTCCTCCGGCAGATGCTTTTCGACCTTCTTGTTTTCTTTGCGTCAACTTATGAAAATGTTTTTGGATTGACCAGCGGGCCTCCCTTGCACGACCCTCTTGCAGTCGCGGTTATTCTGTCGACTCTCAACCCTGAGTATGCGAAAAGGCATCCCGATCAGGTCTTAAAGTTCGACGATCGAAATGGAGAGCGATTTGATGTCCACGTCGTCACTGATGGTCTCCATGGGACTGATGTCGAGCTAGTCGGCGAGCTTGGTCGGTCAAAAGTCATGTCTGGTGCTAACGGAGTTGCGATTCCTCGGGGAGTGGATCTGGATGTGTTCTGGAATATGATACTCGACAGTCTTAGACGTGCGGATGAATGTAATGCTGCGCGGAAGTTGGCGTAATCTATAGATGATAGAATTGGACTGTTTAAGCCTTGAACGGGCTGTCCGTCGTTTAAACAAGCCATGTAAGCATATTTGTCAAATTTAGAGATTTGAAGACTTTTTGCAGATTATTTTCGCATTTAAGTGCTCAATAAGATGGTTTTCGTATTAAAACTTTGTCATATATTAATCGTAACCCAAACCGCTATGCAACGAATCGTGCTATATAACACGCCCAGAACATGAACTGCGAAAAGTCACAGAGCACATCACCACTCCCGTATACCACCATCGGGACCAAAGAATTCTTTAGGCTGCCAGGGCTCAGTCGTCTGTGCCACACGACGGACAATCTCCTCATCAACCTCGATGCCCAGCCCGGGGGCCGTCAAAGCATCAACATAGCCATCCTTGACGGCGAAGACACTAGCATCCTTGACATAACTAGTGATGTCATAGTCACCAGCTTCGGTGTTATAATGGATTCCGAGGCTCATCTCCTGAATAACGAAATTAGGAGTGGCAAGGTCGACCTGCATACAGGCAGCCAGGGCAATAGGACCAAGAGGACAATGCGGCGCAATCGCGACATCATACGTTTCAGCCATGGAAGCAATCCGTCGTAGCTCAGAGATACCTCCGCAATGGCTGATGTCCGGCTGGAGGACGTCAACGCTAGCATCCTCCAGGAAGCGCTTCACATCCCAGCGGCTGTAAAGACGCTCACCCAGTGCAATAGGGCATGAAACCTGGTCCGACAACTGCTTGATGCCCTCTGGGTGCTCAGAGAGCAGAGGTTCTTCCAGGAAAAGCGGCTTGTGCGGTTCAAGCGCCTTGGCTAACTGCTTCGCCATGGGCTTGTGCAAGCGGCCATGAAAGTCCAATGCAGCATCCAGACCCAGCGCCTTGACGGCCTTCAGGCGCTCGACGCTAGATTCCAGCGCACGCGGTGAATCCAGCCAATTCACATCCTCCGTGGCATTCATCTTGATCGCTTTGAATCCCTGTGCCAGGCGTGCTTTGCCGGCTGCTTCGACGTCGTCAGGTCGGTCACCGCCGATCCATGCGTAGACGGAGAGCTTATTGCGGACCTTTCCTCCGATGAGCTGGTGAATTGGGACGCCGAGTTTGCGGCCCTTGAGATCCCACAAGGCGATGTCGATACCGGAAATGGCGGACATGAAAACGGGGCCACCGCGGTAGAAGCCAAGACGCCAGGCCATTTGCCAGATGTGTTCGATATCACTGGTCTGTCAGTCTCCTGCATGCTAACGTTGAGGGTGAAACATACTCGGCCTCGTATCCCTGGAAGCGCTTACACAGCGCATTGAGTGTGCCTTCGACAGCTTCTGTGTGCCCTTCTAGGGTGCTTTCACCCCAACCGTAATTCCCATCTTCATCTACTACTTTGACAAAAAGCCATCTGGGAAGGACACGGAAGTACTCGATGGTCTTGATCTTGGCCATGGTGATTGCGGGGAAGTTGGAGAAGATAGCGTTGGGGGGAAACAATTGTTTAATAGCACCACAGGACTCAACGAAGGTTCAGACTTCAGATTTTGTATTTCACGTTCAGGAAGAGAAAGAAATCCAGACGGAAAAGAGGAGAAGGGAGAATAAGAAAATGATATGATTCATGGGCTCACTCGATGCTATCCCACGCGGGGGAACTATAACGTCTCGGAGATTCTCCGCATCGCCTAACCCGACTTACCGAATGATGAAACATTGGTGGACTATGAAAATGTCAAGGAGATGGTTTTCACTATTTCGTAGGAAGCCTCAAAACTAGAAGCTCAAGAGGCTTTAGATTGAACTCAGGATATGAATATGTAGTTGAGCATGGTATGTAAGGGATAAAGCCCCCAGGCTCGACGCTTAACGTTCTCGAAGGGACCGACAAGCTCAAAATGTAAGGGATCATTGAATACATGCGATGCGGAGGCCTTGAAAATACCAGTGGGAATAACACTTTATACTTGAAGAAAGTGTATGTGGGAAATTCTGCAGCGAAATCGACCAGTCGAATTAGAAGCTGGTTAGACAGTGCTGAAGAAGGATTCTAGAATTCGAGAAGTTTCCCGCTGCATGTCCACGCGAATGATAATTGTCGGGAAACAGAATAAAGGGCAAATAGGACCCAATAGAGAGAGGGTGAATGGGAATGCAATGCCTCTTCTGGCATACGATTCGAAATCGAGTAGGGCTGGATTGAATCACGTTCCCTGATATCTCCCCCGATTAGGCAATCCAATGGACTTCTCCGGTTCTTCGGGTGATTTTCAAAACTTCCAACGTAACTCTATTCACCAAGAATCATTCGATCCTCTTCACTCTGGTTACAATCCTCACCTGTTGTTCACCACAAACATAAATGGTTTCCTACTATCCCAGTTACCCTGAGGAGTAGTAGAAGTAGTAGCCACTCACGGCAATCTTCCATCGCATGTTTTGCCCCTTTCCTTCCATCTGCAGATCTTCGACACTGTCAAGTTGATCCCTCGGCGGACTGCGCCCGCCACTCAACCGTCTTCGCCTTTGGACAGACATGCCGCCGGCCAACTCACCTTCGGTAGGTCTCTCGATGTTTTCTTACTTTTCCTTCTTCGCTACACCGAGGTCAGGAACTATACACACATCTATCTCTTTCCAACCGTAAGGGGACGCCGAGAGATAACGCGGGAGATAGAATGATGGATATCTGGTTCCCGATAACGTGATTATCTGTGATCTATTTGAAACCGATACTACCATACCATCTCACGTTCAATATCTCATATCTTTGCAGCAGAATACCCCTCATTCTCCTCCATCCGCTTCCTCACTTCAGCAACTCAGCGCTGTCTCCACTCCCCTTCCATCTCTCCCAACTTCCGTATCCGACGATGTTCATGACGATAACGTGAGCTTTCTGCGATCTCGAGTACGCTCTCCACCCGGCTCCTCCTCTTCCCTGAGTCGTCAACGCCGTCGTCGACAACAGACCTTGCCAGAGCTCGATCCCATGGATGTGGATGATCCTACGGCTTTGCGCATGTCAGTTGAAATCAACCGTCGCATCCCCATCGTGCGCCGTGAACACGATTCCTCCAGCAGCAATAATAATAACAGTATGCCTAACTATGAAGGCCGCATTTCGAACTCTCGTTCACTTTATGGATGGGCGCCTGCTTCCGATGATGACGACGAGGAGGATGACCACGATATGACCTATGGACCACTTCAGGATAGCAACACTATTTCCTCCTGGTTTGGACGGTTGTCTGATCGCAACGCGCCGAGGCGCCCTATGCGCCGCGACCCCGTCGCTCAAGATCCACACACCTTCTTAGAAGCACCCCCGGAAAGCAACACCCAACGTTTGAGTGACTATTCTCCGTTATCGACAACAGAGGCACTGCTACAATCTGTGCGACGTCAACCGCGGTTTTCCCGGACACGGACATTGCATAATTATCTTTTGGATCGTGAAAGAGCCAGTCAGGACTTGGAAGAGAGCAGAGAACGATCGGGCCCGGCAGCTACATCGCGGGCATACAGATTCCTGCCTAGTAGCCGTGGTGAACCGCACCGACTTCTTACACACAATGAGCTCCGCGCCCGGATAAACGCCCATCGACAACTGCATTTGGATAACCCCCCTAGTCCCCGGTTAAAAGAGACCATCAAATATCTCGACCGTCTACGATATTCAAGTTCCTTCGAAGAAGTCTGACTTCAGCGGCCGCCGGGGGGTTCGTTCGGTTGGATTTCTTGCCCTGGGATGAGGATGATTTTATTCTAGATACAGCTTCCATCGCGCCACCGCCAATATGTTCCTGGCTTCAGCCTGGGATGGTTTTCTCGGGTTCGCAAAGGGCCGCCAGCAGTGCCAATTCTTTCTCTGCGCAGCGAGTGTCAAGTCCACCATCATCACACGACCCTCTGATTGTCAATGGAAGTGAACAGAGCGGCGGCCGGATCCCCGTACAGACAACCAGTGGTCGACGGTACATGGCCAATAACATTTACAACCTGGGTACTGGTAGAGACGAGAATTGGCCCGTCAAAGTCACCATTCATGACATCAATCCGGAGGAGATGACCCTCTCAGGAACCATGGAGGCATACAACATTCCCGACAAAACATCACCGTCCCACGATGCTCATATAGTTACATTCCTAGAAGGAGAGATCATCGACTTTAACACCCATACACTCGAAACTAAGAATTTCAAAGCCGATGCCGAGATCGACTGTACATACTGGCGTGAACTACAACCGTTCAAAAACTTGTCGGATGAAGCGATGACGCGGAGCCTTGTAAGTCGGAAATGGATAACAGAGGAATTGTCCAAGGGTTGGATTTTGATGCGATGGAAAGGCAAGCTCATGCTCCAGCTTCCTTCTGGGCCCCCAGCATTGCTAACCTAGATACAGAACGCTGTTTCATTACACCCACCGACTCACGACAGGGACTCACAATCTCTGGGTTCTATTACATCTCTTTGCATCGCGAAAGCGGCCATATTGAGGGACTATATTATGATCCGGGAAGTTCACCCTACCAACAACTATCACTAAAACCGGAGAGTAAAAGGATGGTCCGGCCATCCTACAGTTTCCGGTAACATTAGCATCGCTTCCTATCGATTTGGCGTAAGGTCGGCCTCTTCCAGCAATTTGCATAGCGGGTGTCATCTTTCTGCGTGGCCGTTTGCGTAATTTCCGTGTTCACTTACACACTCGTACATCGACTTTTGCACAGCTCCACAAATATTCATCTGTACCTTATAGAACAATCCTACACACCAATCTACAGTGTACATATCACGGGGGAGATATTCCTTCAATCGTACATGCCATTGGCCTATACTAGGATAAAAAAGATAAGGATCATGGTCCAAAGACGGGCAAATCAAACCCAATCAACAGAACAGTCATAGGACATAGGGAAGACCTCTCCAAAAGAAAAAATAAACCCGCACACACAACCATCCCATCAATCGAACCCGAACGAGCCCATCATGACGCCACAATCCCTACCCCACCTCCGAGAGCGAATTTACTGCTCAGTCTGGAAGTAGTTGAGGAGGACAGAGCGCTCCTGGGACTCCTCACCCCAATCCTTGACAACGACGCAAGAGCAGTTGACGACCTTGCGAGCGTTACCCTCACGGTCAAGCTGGCCTATAAACAACAATCACCGTTAGCCACACAACTCCCCGACTTTCACATATTTTCGACCAAAAGGTGGGGGGTGCACATACAAAGACCGACCCATTCACCAAGCATCTTTCCATCGGGAACCTTGATGAGAGGGATCTTGTGCTCGGAGCACAGGGCAATGACAAGCTTCTTGTAGGCCTCCTCCTCACAGCCCTCGTTGAGGACACACATGTGAGCCTGACGGCGGTCAAGAGCCTTGGCGGCCTCACGGAGACCACGGGCAAGACCGTCGTGGATCAGGGAGATGCGGAGGACACCCTTGAGGGCGTCGAGGACCGACATCTGGCCACCGGCGCCGGCGTCGGCGCTGACCTCGACCTCATCGGCGGCGGCAACGGGGTTGGAAACAGTCTCTTCTCCGTCCGACTAGTTCATTGAAAGAAACGTTAGTGTTGGAGGTCCCATTGTTCAAGGTGAGCTTGTCTATGTGGGTGGTTGTGGTGTGTGGTGAGTTGCTAGGTCGCCCAGGTCTGTTGGAGCTCTCTCTTTCTTTCTTTCTTTTTTTTTTTTATTCGTTTTCTTGGGTGTAGCAATGAATTGGATTGTGGGGGCCTGGTGTAGGGTGATGATCGAGTGGAAGGGGATCACGTACCATTTTGTCTGATGGTGTTCTCCTTGTCGGATTATCCTCAAAGAGTGAGATAGATAGGTGTGGTGATGGAGTATACTAGAGGGAGTGTGGAAACGGCGATGAGGTTTCTCGCCTAAATTGGGACCGTGTGCCCTACCAGCGTATTATGTAATCCCGGGCTTATCGATAAGTCACATGAGATGCACCCACGATTCCACGTGACGCGTTGGGTTCGGCGCTACAATGAGGGGTATCTGCATCTACACTCCAAAATTGTTTGTTACAGCGTGGGAATTGATGACCGCTGGTCATTCCATTGTCTATCCAAAGTCCTATCGACAGACATCACACATCAACAAGGTATCATAGTCATACATCAAGGAAACCTTCCACCTGTACAGGCTGTCCTCATAAATCGCCGGACAAATACTCTTAGAACATTGAAAGAAAAGAAAAAGACATTAGACGTATGTACTTGGTCGGTGACCATAGCCATTGGTTAGGCCTTGCACTCCATTGGGAAGCCCAGCTGTGTCCTCAACATGGGAAGGCCCAGAAATGTGACCATTGGCTTGTGGAAAGTTGAACGCTAGCGGCGCCGTAGGTTCCTGATCTATATGCATCTTCAGAAACTGGAGGTCGAGTCCATGGAGATGAGGGATGTGGGGAACAAGGTCCATAAAGTCGGAAAGCTGTGTGCAAGTCAGCAACCACCCCTGGCATCGCAACCAAGTAACGGAGATCAACGTACCTTGACCCAAAACACATGTTCCATATCGAAGTATTTTGGTCGTGTTTCGCTATCCTTCTGCATGACTTGTCCAAAGGACGAGTTCATGAAATCCGCGTCATCCGCCTGAACAAGCATCCGACGTGTAACGCGCCAGAGATTCATCCGCTGTGTCGGCGTTGCATCACGCTTCTCCCAGCTGGAATACTGTGCGAGCTGAAGGTCATTCGTCGCTAGTAACGGGGCAACTAGGTAATTAGGTACCCATTTCTCTACGGCAACGTCCGGGGCACAGGAGGGGTCGAGTTGCCGAGTCTCTGCGGTGACGACAGGCATGAACTTCTTTAACCATAGATGGCTTTTTGCCTGAGGGTCATTGGACCCAACCAGGTTAGCTGCAATGCGAAGTCGACTTGGCAAAGCATCGCGTCGTCGCTGTTCTTGTTCTTCCTGCTCCCTGCGTGCTTTGGCAAGGCGTAACCTTTCTTGCTCTAGTCGCTTCTGGCGCTCGTCTTCTGCTTGTTTGATGCGTCGCTGCTCGGCCTCTTTGCGTTTGCGCTCTTCCTCTGCAGCTTTTTCCTTTTCCTGAGCAAGGCGGGCCGCTTGAGCAGCGCGTTCCTCCTCTTCCTTGTCTAACCGAGCCTTTTCGGCTTCGGCAGCGAGACGAGCTTCCTCTGCCAGGCGTTCTTGTCTAGCCTTTCGGGCTTCCTTCTGTCGACGTGCCTCTGCCTCTGCCTCAGCTCGTTCGGTATCGTCGTCCATAGGGATATCGTTCAGGCCGTTGATATCATGTCTCTCCTGTTCCTCCTTAACCGGCTTCCGTTCAGCTGCCTTGTGGGATGGGGCGTCCACTTGACGAAGTGGATCTGGCTTGGACTCTGAATGGTGATATTCGTCATCCTTCCGGCGGGGCTTGGCATCCCCTGTTCCATGATCCTTTTTGACGCTTCCATTCGTGATGTTGGGGGTCCCATCTTCAGATAAAACACGTCTCTTCTTCTGAACAGTATCACGAGAATGCCGCTCGGGTTCCGGGGCACGACCTCGTTCGGGACTCGCGCTGCTACGTCCACGTTTAAGGGGTGATTGTCCGGACTTTGGGGGTTCAAGTTGATCAATACGCGTTTTAGAGCTTTCATCCCGGCTCGACAAGGAATCAGAGGAAGGCAAGCTAGGCCTCCTTCGATCTTGGGGAGGTCGCCCAGCAATCAAGCGTCTTCTCTTAGGAGCTTCCTCGCCACGGCTGGACTCACCATCCCTTGACAAAAGTGGCTGCTTCGGTCGGGAATCCGGACGAGCGCTATCAGGATCTGTACCCGTAGTATGGGCTGGTTTCGGACGGACTGAACTAGACTTCTCCTTCAAATGAGCTACGTTGTCCCGCTTTTTCTCTTTTGTCAAGGCTGCATCCTTAGAGGCAGAATCCCTATAGCCCGGGCTTCCATTAGTTTTCTTGGTCGACCAGCAGGTGACGGCGAATCTCTGCGTCCAGGACGCTTGTTCTCCTTGTCCTTGTCACGTGCTCTACGTGGCGAGTGAATATCTTGCTTGCGTGACTTCTTGGTTCTGACGTGATTGTCATACGCATCTCGAAGAAGATCGTACTCGTCCTCCCAGTTTTCTGCTCGACGTTCCCTAGAAAGCTCGAAGTAAGTCCGATCCCTGTAAAGGCGACGAGTGGGGTTAAACTCTGGCTGGTTGAGCAGAATCCTGATGACGGCAAGGTTGCCCCTTCCAATCGCAGCGAGCATGGGGGTGTTGTAACCAGGCTTCTGGGAACCGCCCTGCACCGGATCGGGATCGGGGTCCGCGTCTCCCATACCGAGCAGAAGCGAGATCACCTCGTCATGGCCACCTTTAGCAGCTGCAATCATAGATTCAGGATCAGCCTTCTGTCCCACATTGAGGATGTTGGCAACCCCCACGATATCTCCTTTGGCGGCGAAGGCTTGTAGGTTCTCTGGGGTAGCTGTGGTCCACAAGAGATCATTTCGTGTGGCCTCGCTTCGGACAGTTTTGCGTTTCGTCGTAGTGAATGGCGGGCTACGCTGTCTATTCACAGGTGGCGATTCACGCGTACTTTCGGCAGAAACTCGTCGAGACGATGCCTCTTTGTTCTCGGATCCAGCTCTCTCCTCGGAACGACGACTAGGTCTTGGGTTGGCTTTGGCCTGCGCAAGAACCCGACGAATTTCCTCATAATCTTCACTATCAGTTGGGACCAAATCATACGGCTCGTCACCTTCAGCGTTAACAACACGGGGATTGGCGCCGGCTGCCAACAAAAGCTTTATAACATCCAAGTGGCCGTTTTCAACTGCATCGATCAACGGTGTATCTTTGTCAATGTTCTTGGTATCAATCTCACAACCAGAATCCAAAAGAAACTTCACTATGGGTGCACAGCCTTCCAAAGACGCAATCTGCAGAGGCGTATTGCCAGCATTGTCGGCAACATTTAAGTCCTCTGGGCGTTCCGCGTGCCTTGCCATGGCCGTGTCCAATTCTTGTGCTGCACAAGCACGTGCAAGGCGTGTCCGACCATTTTGATCGCGCTGTTTCTTGTGACCCGTTGGCCTCGCTGGAGAAGCTGAGGCACCATCAACCGATCCGAGCTTGCGAAGGTGCGCACTAGGTAGCGGAGAACCACTTGTGGATGATGACACAGACTGCCGGTCTTCCGAACTTTGTCGTGGGTATCCAGTAATAAGTGGCGTCGGTGCCTTCTTCTTTCGTTGCAAATCACCAAGCTGGGGTCCAGAAGCAGTTCGCTTGTGAGTAGATCGGACTGGCGAGGCCGACCGGTCAGTCGATACCGGCCGGGGGAAAGTTACACTGCCTAAGTCCTTCCGCTCCCGTTCACGAGATGCTGCTGGTTCTCTCGGGCGAGCAGGACGGCCCGCGTCCCCCTCACCATCGATAGTCTCACTGAAGCTGCGCTTTCTCGAGGTTCTGGGTACGGAGGTAGTCGAGAGTTCGGCTCTACTTGAAAGAGACTGCACATCCTCAGGCTTCTCTATTTTCACAATTGACGGCGGAGACGCTATTCTTTTCTTCGGGCTCAGGGGACGTGGGTCCCGGTCGCGTCCATCGGAAGAATCGCTATCCGTCAACTTTCTCTTTCGCACCTGCAGGTCGTTAGGAGGAAGATCACTCTCCACGGCATCAACATGGTCATCATCATCACGTCGTTTCGGTTCATGCTGTATGTACTTCCGTCTCTTTTCCGGTGACAGGGACTCGCGGCCCGATTGAATTATGGTTTCTGCCTCCGAGTCAGCCTTGGGGCTTGGTGGCCCTTCGCCAGCCCCAGCAACAGGATCAACCTCTTTGGCGCGATCGCCCTCTCTCCTGTAGGCAGGGAATGGAGAAGACCTCTTAGGAGACCGTGGACCTGGAGGAGATCGGTGGTTCACTTTGATCGCAAGAGCACTGTGTCCGGCGTCTAGGGCAGCTGGCAGGGAGGAGACAGCATCAACATCACTCATAGCGGTGGCACTCGATTTCTGGGGGTTCCGCTCGTCATTTTCGGGGGCCGTGGCGAAAAGGAAGACTCGTGGTCAGACACCAGCAAGTATGCGCGGAAGCTGGTGCTCGACCACGCTAGATGGTAAGTAATCGTTCTTTGGGTCGGTTCTTTGCGTACAGCGGAAGCGATAATTCAGGGCGAGTGGTCAAGAGGGCGTGGTTAATGAGTCGAGATAGGAGGGCAGCAGTATGAGGGAAAGAGATGAGTAGATTTAGAACTCGGAAAAAGAGTTAATCTTGCGGGAGACGGACAAAGAGGTGACGGGAAGAGGAAGGAGAAATAGAATCGGAAAGGAAGAAATACAGTCGACAAAGAGACCAGAAGGTGATTTTTGAGGTTCAAGGTGGGCGAGGGAAAGATTGGGGGAGGGGAATTGAAAAGAGGAAGCAGACGAGAGAGAGAGAGAAGAGAGTCGAAGAGTTGCGTTGAAACAGCCGACCACTCGTTTGGGGTTTAGGGAAATTTCGTGGTAGTAATTTAGCAGTTAGAGTAGAAGCAGGAGTCGCAGCACTTGTCGTCCATAAGCGGGTTGGTGGTAATGGTAAGTATTGCCCCGGGAAACTTACAGCCGGGGGGGGGGTTGTCTCCTCTCTTGTTTTGGCCACCCAAGACAAGAAGCACCAAATGCTTTTTTCGCTAACTCAGAAAAGACCTAGTTTGTGGTAGTAGTTATCTACCACCAAGTAGTCATGGGTGATGGTATGATACGGTACGAGAAACATAAACCCCATCTTTATTATCCACCAAGGCCGAGAAAAGTACGTTTCAATCCTAATCACATCACCCAAGTTTTTCCCTTTTTCCCTTTTTCCCTTTTTCCTTTTTCCTTTTTTTCTTACTTTTTCTTATCTGTCGGTATAATGGGCCAATCCTATAATTCCCATACTTCCCCCTCTTTGAATGCATAACGACCACCAGAATACGTAATACTTACAGATGCAGCCGCAACGGAGGTACAGGGAGGCAAGATGAAAGGCCCTTCCGAGTCTCAAGATCCTGCGCGAAGGCCCAAAAGCGGGCGGGGGCGGTCAAAAAGTGGCGTATGAATGAATTAATTTCCTCTTTTTTAGGGTGGTGGTGCCTCTGAAACCTGCACTTTGGAACGGAGGGCAACAGGTGGTGCGCCAGTCACCCTCTTTACAGTGGACTTTGAGAGGAATCCCTGGAAGCTGCGTAGGCTATCAGACTACCAAGGCGTCAATTTACCCAGGTCGAACCAATGACCGGGCAGACCGTCGCCCGCTCATTACTATTTCCGGCCTAGACGGCCTTGCTCCCAATTTGGCAGACCCACGTTGAGTCGCAGCGATCTGCTGATTTCCGTCCAATCACCACGCCACATTACTGCCTGGTTATCGCCCCACTTCGCCGCCGTCTCTGGTTGGCATCGACATGGATTATTGGACCCATCGATGGATCGGCCTTAAAAGGAGAAGGGGGGAAATGGTGGTAATGAGGAATGTACCAATGTAATGTGCGGCGGTATTTTATCTGTGAAGAGTCATTCTTCCGTCTGAGCATGAATAACCGCGTTATTTTTCTTTCTCTATATTTTCTTTTTTTTTTCCCCTGTTTGTTTTTTTTTTTTGTATCGTCTCTAGAAAAAGTTGGGGAAAATGACAAATGCAGGAGGTCTGTTGGTATGAGTCAAGCATTCGTTTGAATGTTCAAATGAAATGTGTTGTTTACTTACAGCGTGACTGACTAATAATTACTTTTACTCCATGGATACCAAACAAAGAGGCAAAATTTAGAGCTAAGTTCATGTTGTTCTCTACTGGCTTCTCACGAGACCACAGTGGAACCTAAAGGATGCCGATTATTACTTGGTTTGGGGGTTTGTTTATGATTTTATGACTGCTCATCTTGCCTTGGCCTGTGGAGTCTCGGTGGTTTTTGTTCTCCACAAACAGCAGTCGAACGTGTCTCATCGTTGTGACAGAACAGGGACCATCGTCAGTGTAAGTAATGCGAATACGAGGTTTCACCTGCAGCCAAAGTCCAGATCGCGTCCTGGAACCATTCCATGAGCAAAACAAACCCCAGAGTGGTGTGCTACCTGTCGACTAGTTCTTTTCAAGTTTTTTTTGATCCTCAATCAATTCCCCCTCCTTGCCCATCATCTGCGGGTTTCCTCCACGTAGGGGACAGAACTTTCAGGACGATGGACTTCCTTCCCAGTCTCATCGATCGGGCGCTGGCTACTGCCCACATGGACGCTGTGGATGTCCTTCGAGCCTTCTTCCTCTTTGCATCGTGTACGGTATGATAACATGTTGACAATGACGTAGTGGCAGAACGCCGAGGATCATACGGCATCAGTCTACCAATTTTTTTCTATCTAAGATGACTTCAAAACTAAACTCCCCAGATCCTGTCGGTCAGCCTGTTGGACTCCCTTCGTTCGCGCTTCGTCCCTTATGGCGCTCGTGCAACCGTGACGGTCGAGTCGGATTCTACCCCGTCTAAGCCTTCGAGCAGCTCCCCGATAACTCACATTCTCGACCATCTTGCCTCCTTGAAAGTTCCCCACAGCTATTTCACACAGTTCTACGTCGTCTCCCTGCTATCCTCAATTTTCTGGGCCCTTCAGCTTGTGTGCCATGGACAAGCGTTCCAAGCCATCGCGACGAGGGTTCACTCAGAGCACCTACAGAGGACGATGTCGGTAAACCAGGTTATGTTATGTTGGGTACTGATGCTGGCGCAAGGTGTAAGACGGTTACATGAGTCCTTCGCCTTTTCCAAGCCTTCTTCTTCCCAGATGTGGTTTGCCCACTGGCTAGCAGGCATTGCCTTCTATCTGGCAGTCTCAATCGCCCTCTGGATTGAGGGGACAGGTATGCAGTTCCCGTAGCGAAGCACGATTGCTGTCCCACTAATTTCAATCGTTTCGAAACTCGCAGAAACGCTACTGTCCCATAGATGGAGCCGCGACGATGTAACAGTGAACAACGCCCCAAGCCTTCGTACATTTCTCTGCTTGCCAATCTTTCTGTTTGCATCTGGCCTGCAACATGACGCCCATCACTATCTTTTCTCTCTCAAGAAGTACACTCTTCCCTCTCATCCCATGTTCCGCAGCATCGTATGTCCACACTACACAGCTGAATGTGCGATCTACCTATCATTGGCTCTGCTTGCCGCTCCCCAGGGAGAGATGATCAACAAAACTGTTTTGTCGGCTGTCGTCTTTGTCACGGTCAATTTAGGCGTCACTGCATCCGAGACCAAACGCTGGTACATGCAGAAATTCGGCGATAATTCGGTGCGGGAAAGGTGGAATATGATACCATGGGTATACTAATGCTGTAGTATTGAGACATTTGTGGGGCAGCTTATCCCTGGTATCTGGAGGTGCGAGCAGGATCACCGCCCACCCAGGAATTTCATCGTATTGCCCACCTTCGCAACCTTGAGTACATCCCGATACGTCAGACTAATCCTGGTCTCCCTTTCAAACCATCCACACCGGTATCGACCCTGTTCCCGCAACAGATCCCAGTTACATATAGAGTCAGGGCCTAGCCCTTCATCCCTGGTTGTCTCCGCGATACCATGCAGATAGTCTGTGTAGATCTTTTTGGTTGTAACCAACAAACTTCGTCGCTCCTGCAAAATGCGCTGCTGCGGTCTACGGTCCTCGCCGTCCCGGCCCTGACCTTTCTGGTACAAGTCCAGCACAATTGGCGCTCCCAAACTCACCGTGGCAACTAGTGGGCAATAAGCAGCACCATCTTCATGCGGCATGATGCCCTGTCCGGGGCGGTACTCGTTCACTAGAACATGATTCGGGGCCTTGTGCGGGGCATCAGCAAAGATGCCTAGCGATTCAAAGCGAGAGATGACGGGTGAGACGAGCCAGGATGGAAGGGAGGAGGAAATGAGGGCGTTGGACTTGGTCAGGGCAGAGGGCCACGTTTGGAGACGACGGTGGGACAGATGAGTCCAGCGGGGCAGAGGGACTGTGGTTATCTGTCATGCAGCATCCTCACACCAATCAGTATCCAAGTCTCATTGACAGGCTACGCTCTGTACCCGGCCATCATTCCAATCGGCGTAGCTGGTCGACAGGACACGCCAGTGGAACACTAATGTACAGCATATACCTTTTGTAACAGCACCTCTTCCTCCTCTTTCGTGATGAAATCCGCTATGTAGAACGCATCATCCGGCAACGACTTGATCCGCGACGTCTTGAGATCTACATTCATCTGGGACCGTACACTGCACTGGTCCTCGGTACAGATCTACAATCCCACCCCATCATCAGATAATGATAAACATTCCCAGAACCAGGATAGAGTGGAACTTACCTTTCAATAACCTTTCACGAACTAGTACGTGAGAAATAAAACTAAAATAAAATAAAATCCCCCACCTATCAAACTCAGTCGGAGCAGAAGGGAAACGTTCGGGTAAAGTCATTAAGTCATGTCGTCACCTGCAACGCATCCAGTAGAGGCGAAGTCATCGCCTCAGGCATCCGAGAAACCCCCCCCACCAAAGCCCCACATGCGTGACCTCAACATCAGATCTCAATTTGACTGCCCATAACAAGATCTCGACCCAGCATTCGCCAGCCCAGATATTTGGAAGAGGCAAGAGATAAGCACCTTCTCGAAGGGTCGAAAATCAAACCAAAAGTATTGTCTAAAAAAACCACAAACTAAAATCAGAGTTTAAAAAAAGGAAAAAAAAATAGCACTTACCCCAAAACAATCACAAAAACAACACAACCCCAAAATGGCGCCCAAGAACAAAGGCGGAGACAAGAAGGGCAAGGTAAATGATGGAGGTGATAAGGGGGGCAAGGGATTGAAACCGGCTACTTCGATCAATGTGCGGCACATTCTTGTATGTATTATGTCCCCCCTCCCTTCTTCCTCTTACTATGATCTCCCTTTAGATTGGGTTTGAGGCGCAATATATATAAAACGGGAGCATGGGGTTGAGCCG